CTGATATGTGGATACTAATTCACAATAAGGTAGAGGTGTGGCTAGGGAAGAATAGAGTTACTTTGCATTAAGTAGAGGGGAGGTAAAGGAAGGAGAAGTAGTATGGGGTTAGGAATGATAGTCGAATGAATCAAAAATTATTACTCTATGTACATATACTACACAACTGGTATGATTCTATATCATGTACAACCAAAAGAATGAGAAATTGAGTAAAGTGCATTCTATTGTCTGTATAACTAATTAGAACAAATAAAAAACAAAAACAAAAGAAAAAATATATAACAGGCCTAATACTGAGCAATTCATTGTCTAGATCAGTTAATTATTATAAAAATCCCCATGAGGAATATCATCATTTTTCTGATATTTTCATGAAACTTATTTAGTTTTAGATAGATTTAACACTATGTGAAAATCAACAGTAAGTAGTAAAATCAAGTTTCAAACTCTGGCTCTACCACCCTTTCCAAAATGATTCTACACTGTCGATTGAAAGTAAATAAGTGGCAAGCATCTTTAGTTCGTTTGTTTGTGTTGCTATAACAAAATACCTGCCATTTGCTAATTTGTGAAAAACAGAAATTTCTTCTCTCATAGTTTAAGATACAGGTGCCAGCAGGTTCACTTGTCTGGTTAGGACTTCTCTGCTTCCAAGATGATGCCTGGATAAGTCCTTAAAAGGAGAGGAACACAGTGTTCTCACATAGCATGGACAGAAAAGCAAGAGAAGCTCTACGTGTATAATGCCACTCTTATCAAGTTCCTTAGTCTCATTCACAAGAGAGGAGCCTCTCATGGCCACATCACTTCTTAAAGTTGATTCAACCATACTAGACTGCAAATTCCAAATTTTGGAGGGAACACATTCAGCCTGTACTAACATGAGATTATGAAAAATGAATAAAAGCATCATAATTCTAATGGTAATAAAATGTGATGTAGACTCTCCTGCAGTTGAATGATAAGCCCTCTGGATATTAAAAAATATGTATTTTTATCATGAGACAAAATTAAAACTTTTAAATAAAACATTGATAATTATTATTATTTTTTCAACCTTTATTTTTTAGTTGTAGGTGCACAGAATACCTTTATTTTATTTTTATGTGGTGCTGAGGATCGAACCCAGTGCCTCACACATGCTAGGTGAGTGCTCTTCCTCCGAGCCACAACCCCAGTCTAATAATTGTTATTATTAACATTGTTAAATAATTATTAAATTTAACAATGATTGTTAAAACTATTAAGTATATTCACATAAATTAGGAACTGTTTTAAGCTTTGTACATCCTCTCAAATAATCCTGCAATAAACAAATAAATTCTGTTATAATTTGTTTTATCTTTTTTTATGTACTAGAGAGTGAATCCAGAGGCCTCTACTATTGAACTACATGCCCTACCCCTTTTTAAATTTATTTTGAGATAGGGTCTCACTAAGTTGCCCAGGCTGGCCTTGAACTTATGTGTTCCACCTTCCCCAGCCTCCCCAGTGGCTGGATTACAGCTACTGTTCCAGATTATTCCATTTGTAGAAGACAAAATTTGAAGCACCAATATTAGTTAGTCAAGATTATAGAAAGAAGTTGTCAAACCAAGATAGGCTTGAGACAAACCCATGTTAGATTCTGTTATCTTGTGGTATTTTGGTGATGTCGTTCTTAATAGAAAATTCAGAAATTATTTTCTTCCTTTCAGATAGGACCAAGAGACAGTGGATGAGGAAGATATAGTGGCTATAAAAATAAAATCACTTCTTGGTGTTTCTGTAGATGGGACACTGAATTATTTCATCATCTCATAAATAATCAGTGGACTTTATACATGCATGTGAAGATTGAGTTAATTACACACACACATACACACATATTTATTATGTATTTTACAACTGCATTTAGATAATATGGAAATTTTTTGGAAATCTTTCCTTCATAGAAAACAAGAGAAATGAGACAAATACAGACATGTTAAACCAGGTTAGATTATATTATCGTAACAACAGTCTTACACTTATGCAGGGGAATTCTCTTTTATCTAATGAAATACAATTATTTATGTAACTTAAATCATATATTATGTAGAAAATGGAAGAAGACATTTTACTTAGCTTGATACTGAAGACATTCTCAAATTAAATATACATATAGCATAAACAGTATCACATTTAACTTTGAATGCCCAATTATCTTATTGATGATCAGCTTATTGAAGCATTTTTAAGACTAATATTGAAAAGGGAATTTCATTTGTGATAGCATTTGTTTCTATTGCCCTGAGATAATTTAATAATAACACTGGGTATTTCCATAGAAACTCAGTGGGGACAATTTCAGAACACTTCCTCCTTCCAGCAGGCTTTTGAGATTACATATGAATAGTCACTGTGTGAGATTTAATTATAGAAAATCCTTCTGTGATCAAATAATTTTTTCAAGCCATATCATATTATATATTACACACACACACAAATTTGTATATATAATTATGTGTATATATATATATGTTATATATGTATATGTATGTGTGCATATGTATATGTGTATATATACACAAACATATTTTTTTTCTTGGCTTTCTGAATTCCCTGAGAATTCTGCACTTAGTCTTCCTCTGCCACAACTGCTTGGATCTTCTTTAGGCCTTATTATCTCTGGAAAATTTCTCACCTTCCAGATCTCAAAATCCAAAGTTCCATTTTCTGAAGATAATAAAAATAAACTTTTATTAACAGCTCTCTCTGACCATAAATATCACCATGTACTATTCTTTGGCTCTTTTCTATTTTTGCAGCCCAACACAGCTGTTACTTGTTGCTTGCTACCTGATAAAGAAAGTAATGGCCAGTCATTTGAGGAGGATCATTTCTCACTACTTTAGAAGTCCACCTCCTTATGACTTTCTGACCTTCTGGGTTAATAAATCTTCATTTTGAGTCTTTCTCACTGTTACTTCTGCCATTTTCTATTTTGTAGATGGGCATAATCTCGCAAAACCTCACTAATTCAGAGCAAGTAAAAGAGTCACCATGTCATTTAATCAGAGGTACTTTTCATTTTCATAAGTGAACAATGATACTATAAAACCTCTGCAAACCAGCTCCATCTCAGAGAAGTCATCTTTCTAACAAAAGCATACCTGTTTTCTCATCGAAGTTAAACCTTCAGTACTGCTTGAAATTCTCCTATGTGTTTCTGTTAGGTTGGTCACCTACTAGACATTTCTTGTGTCACCTTGAAACTTTTTCACTTGCCTCAAGAAACTAATTCCTTTATATTCCTTTCAAGTTTAATTCCACTAAATCTATTATTTTCTTCTTCTCAGGAAAGAGTGAGATCTCACCACTTCATGATCTTTTTTTCTCTATTTGTTTCTCTTTCTCTGTTTCTTTTCATTTTTCCATCACCAAATCTTTTCTGCATAAATGTTTTCTGTCAGCAACATCTTCATGTTATAATACCTCATTTAATTTTTTTTTGGCAGGGGGGATGAGGGGTACAAGGTGAGATAGTCATAATCACCCATTTCCTTTTATTCTGATTAAAACTTCTGTGAAAGTATGGAACACCTCTTTCCAAGCCACAGAACAACACAGAACAAGTCTTTCTCCAGGAATTTCCCTTTGCTTTGATATACATCTTGCCACATGGAACTTGCTTATCCTCATGAAGGATTTTAGTATGCCTTAAGCAACTAGCATTCCCAATCTACTTTCTATTAGGGATGCTGAGTGATAGGTATCTAAATTTTGCAAAGATATCTCAAAGCTAGAAATATGATATGTCAAGAGCTTTGTAATGTTTTGAACAACTAATAATTAAAAAAATAAAGTTAACCAGAGATTTCTGTACCAAAAAAAAAAAAAAAAAGTCCAAAGCTAAACTTAGTTCTGGCCTTGAACTATTCCACTATTCCAATTTTTAGAAAATCACTGAATTTCCTTAATCACTCAGAGTCATAAAACCTTGATTTAATCGTAAATATTCCTCTTTTCAGCGTCACCGAATAAAATTACTTATCACGGCTGCAGATTGTCTTCTACTGTACTCTTCACAATTATTACCACATTGTGCCTTATTACTGAATTCAACAGAAATCCTGTGCAGTATTTCAGCCTCATTAGTCTTCTTGAAGCTTAACTCCAATCATTTCAAACCATTAAGCTATTTAAGTACCTTTTGCATTTCTTCTCTTAGAATCTGTCTTAGGCTTTGCATTCATGGCTTTTCTTTCTCTGGCCCCAAAACATCTTCTCCTCCAACAGTCAAAAGTGGGAAAACCATGCATAATTTGGATCCAACAGCATGCTTTTTCCTAAATGGTAACAACATTTTCATTCTGTTCTACTTTTCATAGACCTCCCCTGTTGAAACTTTCTCCATTTCCAAGGCCTGTATCAATCACTGTCTTCCATGATAAATAGTTTACTCTCTTACCAATCATGAAATCTTTAATTCCCAATAGTTCTCTGATTTTACTGACTTTGTTCCATCTCATCAATACATTTGTGTATTCATTTTCTCCTTCTCTTTCTAAAGTACAGTATATATGTTTATTTATGGTTTCAGTGCTGGAACATCAGTTGTTAAAATATTAGTATGCAAATGAGACTCTTTGAATATTATAGAATTAGTTGTATACTTGTCACAATATTTTCTGAACTTTCTGCAAAGTTGTTTCCAAGTATCATTATACCTAATTTATAATTGAACTAATGCATGAAGAAATTAGTTGATTTGTTCATAGGTAAATCCTGGTCTCTGACAGAGCTAGGAGTAAACACCAGGTCTTTATAATCCTGTTTCCTGTTCATTTTAAATAGAGCCCTCTGTATGTATGCAAAGTGCTGCAATCATTCATTGAGTAGATTCAGTGGCTCATTTTCCTTAAAGCATCACTGATTTGAACTCACTGTTTCCTCCATTTAGGCCTAAGAAAATTGTGGCCAGATATTTCATCCTCTAATTAACCTAAAAGTGAACTATATTTCATTGCTTGTAGGATGGTATGGGAAATCTGAGAGTCACCAAGAAGGGAATCCGACTTGAAGGTATATCTGAGTTTCTACTTCCATTGTATGTGAAAGAAATTCATTCCAGAAAGGTATGTGATACTGGCTTTGGCTTACTGTAAAAGATAATTTAGAGCTTATGTTTTAGCTTGAAATAGGAGCATAGAATTCCCTTATCTCCTTATGTATCAGTGTTTGTTAGCTAAAAACCTATTAAAGTTAAAAAGATGAGACAATTGAAAAACAGTGAAGGTTAGTTTCAAACTGACAAATTCAAGATCATTTTGAATTGAAATGCAGTGCTTCTTTTGTTAGTCTATAAAATTTGCCCCTCTATTTTCACTGTGAGATATAAATACACAGTCATAGTAATTATAAAGGGGGCATTTGATATGTGTTGAATAATTTTTGCAAAAAGTGCTGAGTCACATTAGTGATTTCAATTGAATATACCATACATGTTTTCATCTTTAATAGACATGTATTTGCTAAAAGAGAGGATCAGGAGTTTTTATTTGGAAATTAAAATTTATTTCTGGATGTACCTTATTTCAATCAAGTCAGAATATTTGTCTTTTGTGAGAGAGAGAAAGAGAGACAGAGAGAGAGAGAGAGAGAGAGAGAGAGAGAGAGAGTGAGAGAGAGTGTGTATGTGTTCTATATGTATTTTATCATTTAGCAGCATGCTAAAAACATCAAGATTGTAGCTTAGTTATTGTTTATTTTGGCTTAAGTGTGATTCCTCTTAGAAGATAGTAACTATTTTCAGGTACATTAAAATCTTCTAAATCTATTAAACAAATATCTGGGGTATGTGTATATATGTGGAAATATAATTAGTGAGAGAGAAATAAAGAAAGTTTGTTATCCACAAGTCAGAAAAATATTAATCTTTCATAAATATGAAAATCTATTTAAGATTAAAATAATATTTTAATATTGCCAATATGATACATTAGCAAATAGACTACATAGGAAAACATAATTTGAATAATTGACTTGAAGCTCTTTTTCCCCTTATTACCAAACTGAAATGAGATCAAAGGATCAACTTTCATATAACTTTTAATTATGATAGTTATATTCAATGACTTTTTTATAATGTGGAATGATAGAGCTTCTCTAATATACTATATGATTGCACTCTAGGTACTGGAATTCTATTTTGATAATACTTTCCAAAGTTTGGTCCCATGTAAATCAAGAGACACATGTCTGAACACTTGCCTTTCATGGTTAAACTTTTAAAAATAATTAAACATAAAAACTTCACCCAGAATACTTCTTTTTTGATTCTAGGAAAAATTGGAAGAAAATCTCATGTTTGCATTTATCAATATGTTTCCTTGATTGAAAGCCACCACCACTCACAACTATTTTCACTGTTCTTTTTTTGATTGTTGTCACTTTAAGTTGTTTAGTATTTGAAAACAGTAAAAATTTTACGTGTGGAAATCAAGAAATTACTTAGTCTAGGAAGGAGGAGGGAATAGTTTCAGGCAGAAACTTTTTTTTGCAGGGGGGCAGTTCTCCGGGATTGAACTCCGCAGCACAGGATCACTGAGCCATATCCCTAGCCTTATTTTGTATTTTTATTTAGAGACAGAGTATCACTTACTTAGCACCCTGCTTTGCTGAGGCTGGCTTTGAACTTGCAATCCTCCTGTCTCAGCTTCTCTCGAGCTGCTGGGATTATGGGAGAGTGCCAACATACCAGACCACAAACTTTTTTGAAAATTCATTCTGTTGACAAGCCCAGGGATAGCAAAGAGAGATTCTCTAAGTCATTTAGGCCAAGTTTTAGTATCCTCCTGGCAAGCCAACTTAAAGAAAGATTGTGAAGACCTCTGCCAATGGGAGGGTCGTACAATTTGTCTTCTGAGCAGGGGAATTGGGGGGAGTATAACAACAGGTGTTCTAACTGCAAACAAGAATGAGTCTCAAATCTATGGAGGAAATAAGATAAGGTCCACTAATTTTTTCCATTAAAGTGTGAGGTGGTGGCAGATGGATTTCCTAATCTTCATGCCTGGGATGCTAATCTCAAGTTCACAAGCATTTCCAAAGCCTACTGCATTGATTGAGAACTTCCAGCTCCCTCTCACATCCTCAGCCCTGTGGCTTCTTTCCTTTGTCTCCTCTCATTGCTGTTTGCCTCCCAGTAGGGAGGAAGCATGGTAAAGCATAAGAGGTAGAAGTCTGGTTTGAAGAACAGAAGTAAAAGGAAACTCATTTATCCCTTGGGAAACGTTGCTATACATTCACACACAGCAACAATAAATAAATAAAGGAAAAAGAAAGGGACAATCTGTATTTTATACCCAATTCCCACATTACAATTCACTTGTGGGTGAATGTGTGCTGTGGTTCATTCTTGCTGCAAAGAATATTTTGCTATTTCAAAAAGACAGGCACGATTTCTCTCAGATGTTATTTTCTCATTACTAAAGTAGAACTGATAAAACTTCTCAAAATTCTTAATTCTTAGGTTAAGAAAAAACAGAAAAATTTCAGTAATCCTAGGAGAAATGAGATTGTTTATTTTAAAAAATCAGGCCACCTATCAATCTCCCTTACATTTTTATGTATTCTGTTTATGATAAAATTTCAAAAATCCAGTGGTTTTCAGGTAGAAAAAATGTATTAAATTTAAAAGGTATTTATAAATATTCAATTTAGCTGAGAGAAACACTACTTTGTACAATATTGATATGCATCTATTTCTACCCTCTTAATGACAGCCGGTTGCCTTCTTTATATTTAGCCAGTATTCCACTCTGACAAATATGGTTTTCTTACTTAAAGTTACTTTTTGGTTATTTAGATATTTAATCATACACATGGAAAGGTGATAAGATATTTCTGCTGCATAAAAGTGCAGTTGCCCATAAACACACATCTTGTCACCTGAATCTACTCTTTAAGCTAAATGACTTCCCTAACACCACCACCCAAAATAGTCATACTTATTTGAAGTTCTATTACACATATAGAAATTTACAATCTTTATCCTTTTCAAAATCAACCTTTTCTAACTGGCTCATCAAAACAGTCTACAACACATACACACACACACACACACACACAATGTAGTGTAGTCTACCCCTAAAACATCTTGAAATTCAATGCATCTCTCAAAATTAATATCATTACTGTTACAAAAGAATTGTGCACTGAATATTACTGAAATGAAATGCGTAATTTCCTTCAAACAGAAAAGACACAAAGGATGTGGAATTTGGGCTGCCTTATATAAATGAAGGCAATGATTACATTCTGCCCTAGTCTTCAGGGCACATGGGCTAACATTGGGACAAAATCTTTGAATATCAGAAACTCAAGATGTAATTAGCAGACTCATTTTCTTTAAATGTAAATGGAGTATGTTTCCTAAGGTATCACGAGTCCAGGTTATTAATGGGATGCTCTTTCATACATTTCACTGATTTTTAGCAGCCAGATTCATATCGTGCGATTCTCTAGAACCCTGTAAAGTATCACCAAACTTATCTGTCCTCTATTTTTGTTTATTTTTTCCTGTTTAAGGATTATTAGTTAAATTGATACCTTACCTGCCACTGATCACACTGTTCTGAATGACAGGTTGATAATAATACCCAAGGCACTACTACCAGATAATTCCAATTCAAGTACCTCCACAGCAAAACGAAGAAGTCCTGAGTTCTTAGTCCTGCTGTACTAGCAAACTGTGAGCAAGGATCCGCTCTTCTTATGTTCATTTCGCTGGCTTCAGAGCTGTGTGATGCAAACTCGGTTCTTTTTTACAACCAGTTTTGCATATTGTATATACAATTCTTTTTTATAGGGTTCAGAGACAAAACCATGGGGCCAGACTAGCATAGTAAATCTTTTCTGCTTACACAGCATGTTAATTTCCTTACCTGTCTCTTTCAGGTACCATGGAAAATCTCTGTGCAGGTTTTCTTACTCCCGTATACACTATTTCATACAAATAGACATGTGAAGCCTTCCATAATTATCTTATTCATCATTATCATTTTACATTTAAATGTTTATATGAGAGACATTTATGATTTTACAGTGATGTCTTCTGGTTCATGTACAAAACAACACAAGTGTCTCCAAAATCTTTACACTAAAGAAAATGAAACTATACATCTGGTCAACATCATCATAGCTATGTAATTATATTCCTGCACAAATAAAAGAATAAAGAGTATATATAGACTTGTACAGACTATTTATAATTAACCTATTATGCATAATTTAGTAGAAGAAAAATAATCTGAAATAGATTGAAATGGCTAAATGTAAATATACCTTTACCACCAATTTTTTTAATTGTGCTTTTACTGTTAAGAATAAAAGATTTTGAATACCATTAGGAAGCCAGATTAAATAGCTTCATGTTTCAATTTCAGAAAGCATTTGTTAACTCCCTGCAGTGTAATTTGAGGTGATTAGCTCCTCTCCAATTTGTCCTCATCCCTCTTCACTTTCGATTTTTTGATAATTATAGCATTTTAACTTCCTCAGAGTTCATAATATTTACATTCTGTTGTGCAACTTTTCTTGCAGCAGCACTTTGGTCTTCTGTCTACATAGACAGGACTGCAGGTTCCATCACTGGTCCTCTATTTATTATGGCTACTCCATCCGGAGTTCATTATTCAATCACTCCTTGCTTATGTGTATTTTGTTTTTAATTAGTTTGTTTTGATTTTTTAAAAATTTTTATTGTTGGTTGTTCAAAACATTACATAGTTCTTGACATATCATATTTCACACTTTGATTCAAGTG